CTACGTGATTCTCATTGAATTATCATATGTTTTGACAAATATATAATTGTGTATTTCACATAGAAAGGAGTGAACAGACTGAACGTGCACTCGGTAAATATATCGAGACGCACGGGCTGGAACTAGTTAACAGTAACTACTTAACCACACAGATCTCCGCGCGAGCGTTTTCAAAAGCAAAATTCAACTCGCGCCCCGAGAACGACGCGACGCGTCACAAATTTGAATAATCGAATGTATGAGCCGAATAATCGAGCTGCGCACACCTCACAACTCTCGCTGTGGTGTGCGAAAATATATATACCGATTTTCTTCTGCTACATTAAAACGCAGCCCCAAGGCCGCGTAGCGAGATAACATCTATACTCCTGGGTTCTCTCCCGTGGGAATTTCTTAAGTGATTCTTCTACCTACCGCTAGGAATAAAGCAGTTACGTGTATACCGCGTAGCCGTTTGAAGAAGCCCCGAAAGTGCACTTCAGAAAAATACGAAAAATCTATTCACGATCTGCCGATTATTTCAAGTAGCCGATAATTGAAAATCGTCCGATAATGGATAATGGACCGATCGTCTCGCAACGATAATGGAAAAAATAATATGTTAATATAAATTAATTATCCGTAAAAAAACAAAGAATTGTAAAAAATGATGACTTTGTCTATACACAACTTCAGCAAACTTTTTTGCGTTTGCCTGAAATAAATACAAACTCTTCAGTGTTTTATCATTTTTCTTCTTTTAGAATAAATGATATGTGTGAAGTATATCTCATTTAAGATAGTACATAGTATATATCTCATTTAAAGTATGACTTCTCTGATCGCTATAAAGGCTACGTCGCGATAAAGGCGGATAAAACGGGACTAGCAAGAATGAACCCTTAATGAACAGAATCGAAGGGGAAGCTGGCGGAGCAGGAGAAGAAGGCGGGGAATCATCGGGATGATTCTCGATGCGGAGATCCGTGGATTCAATATGGGACCTCGATCCTATTCGTCGCCTCATCTGACTCGTTCCACCTCGTTATCCTGCGATAAGTACGAGGAAGATGAGGTGAAAAACGAGCAAAATAGGACGAAGAAATTGAAGGCGGCCTTAGAAATCCTCCGGCTGCTCGGTGACCGTATGATATCCTCGTGAATTTCAAGTGACCTATTAGATACGACATCGTGACCTGGACGTTATCCAACGTCCCGCGTTTTAATTTCTCGCGTGCTTTTATCTCGCCCAGCCCGAGAACTGATTACTGACTGTCGTTATATTGAAGCTCCAGTTTCAAGCTTTCAATACCGTTTACAATTTTGTTCTTCGCGGCTGAAGCATTGATTCTCAAATCTTGAAAAATAGCGAAGCAAGCTTTTCACATCGATCAACATTATCATCTTATTGTAACATTGGAAATCGCTTTGTCTGCTTCCGTCGTTCGACAACGTGATTCGTATCACTTTAATAGTTTCTCTTCGAGACTTGCTCAAAAGGCAATCTCCGCAATTGCATTTTCTTCACCGCGACAAAATGGTCATTGAAGCTAGTGGACAGTTCGCTTTTAATATACGATCTTTGCTACTTTGATCATTCAACTATAGCCACTCCGCGACAATTCGATTTCATCTTGAGCAAGTGGTTGCTAACTCCTACTATAGAAGAAGAACTCGTTCTTTGAAGAAGAATATTTAAAGCGTACACAATAATTTTATGAGCATACATTTCTGCAATATTTCCAGATATTGTTTCTCTCTAATGTATAATTTTGCGGGCTAAGTTACATTAATTTACAGAAATATTAAAGTCCGGAAAACGTTCTCTTATTATCTTTCTTTCTTCAATTACATTTTATATATGGAAAAGGCAGACTGTTGCTTTGCAATATTATCAGTTCCAACTGAAACTTTCAGTTTAATTCCCGTCGTAGGACAATATTCATTTTAACACGGACAATCGCGTTAATTTTCTTTTGCATCGCAATAATCCAATTATACTAATTAATCCTCATTTGTAAGGAGAGCAATAGCGCGTCTGTCAAAAGAGCGGGACTCTCAGCTTTGCGATGTTTTTTGTTTGAAGCCATTATGACTTCTAGAAGTCAAGTTTCCGTCGACGTTCAGCTCGGCTCGGCGCGACGCGGACACAATGGAACACCTGCCGCATTCTTCTCAGAAGCGCGTGCAAGTCCGCATTCCATCACGTGTCGACTGTTTACATCGCGTATCCACACGCGACCGTCCAGAACGATGCATCACCCCCACCTATATGTTGTGTCGACTGGTCGGCCGACCTCGAGGCCGTTCCCCCTCTCTGTGGCCCAAACGCACCCCACTCTTTTAGCAGCATTTAGGGCCTGCGCGTCAGTGAGTGGTATGCATCGTGTGGATGGCAGTTATAGGCCGGTATTCATAGTCAGATCTTATATTTAAGATCATATTAAGTACTGTTTTAAGATGTCATAAACTAATCACAAAGCCGTATTCGCATCTTAAGACATTACTTAAGACAGTCTTGAAATAAGATTCGGCTATGAATACCAGCCATAGAAACCGTAATATTCTGAAAAAGCCTAGCTTTCTTTGTTGCCTATTCTAGGCAACAAAATAGCTTTCTTGTTGTATAAACGAAAATACGGCAGTCTGCTAATAAATTCCAAAGGAGATAAATCTTATAACACACATAGTTATATTAATTAATCGTCTTCGAAATATTCGGCATTCGACGTCATAAACCAATCACAGAGCCGTATTTGCATCTTAAGACATTACTTAAGACAGTCTTGAAATAAGATTCGGCTATGAATACCAGCCATAGAAACCGTAATATTCTGAAAAAGCCTAGCTTTCTTTGTTGCCTATTCTAGGCAACAAAATAGCTTTCTTGTTGTATAAACGAAAATACGGCAGTCTGCTAATAAATTCCAAAGGAGATAAATCTTATAACACACATAGTTATATTAATTAATCGTCTTCGAAATATTCGGCATTCGACGTCATAAACCAATCACAGAGCCGTATTTGCATCTTAAGACATTACTTAAGACAGTCTTGAAATAAGATTCGGCTATGAATACCAGCCATAGAAACCGTAATATTCTGAAAAAGCCTAGCTTTCTTTGTTGCCTATTTTAGGCAACAAAATAGCTTTCTTGTTGTATAAACGAAATTACGGCAGTCTGCTAATAAATTCCAAAGGAGATAAATCTTATAACACACATAGTATGTGTTAATAATAAGTTAATTAAATAGTGTGTTATATTAATTAATCGTCTTCGAAATATTCAGCATTCGATTTTCATGCAATAAAGTAACAAAAACAAATAGATTTTAAACGCTCGTTCTATTGCGTGAAAAATGTCTCTTATGAATAATTCTTTGATGTGAGAGGCCTTTGCACGTCAGAAAGTCTTAACCGTATCCGTAATTCCGTAAGATTCTAACACACACAGTCAGATAAAGCAACGTAAGTGAAAATTCGTAATCGTAAGGCTGCATATGAATTTTCACTTGCGTTGCTCTATCTGATTGTATGTGTTAGAAATTTAATTTACGAAGGAGCATTGACAGAATTACGGTTACGGTTAAGACTTTTTGATGTGTAAAGGCCTTTAGTATGGTTAGCAACGAATAGTACAAAAAGTGCTGCTATGTTGCTTGGTCGCAATACGATCAAGAACCGTATATTCCAACATTAAGGGTCGGTTGTTCCAACTTTTTGGTAAGCTAACTGACAGATAAATCACATGTCTATCTTTGTGTAAGTTAAAGGAAGAACAGTTAATTTAGTTAAAAAACCGGCTCTAAGCCTGACATTCATAGTCGGGTCTTGCATTTACGACCATCTTAATTCATCTTCAGATAGCCAATAAAACGATCCACACAGCGTCTGAAAATAAACTTAAGAAGACCTTAAATATAAAATCTAATTATGAATACCGCTCAAAATATGCATTTATGATCTCTCAAGCTGAAATAACGCTGTACGCTCGTGTAAGAAATTTCTTGGAATTAAAAAAGCATACTTAATGTTCGCCATATGTCCAGAAGAGGGTCCCAAGCGTATTGAAACTTGCACAGGCTATAGCTCGCGAACGAAACGAAGTAAAGACATAAAATAAAGAGCAATTTTCTCGCCGCACGGTCCCGAGTGCTGCTGATCTTTTATTGAGGATTTGAAGGAGCCAATTGCAGCTGAACACAAATTCTTTATGGAACGCACCCGCTAATATTCGCAATGCACAACTGCTTATATTTATATTCCTTCTTTCGTTTCTTTTATCGTAACGAGAATTGTTGTTATTGTAAATTGAAGGAAAGAATTATTCATAAGAGACATTTCTCACGCGACAAAACGAGCATTTCAAATCTATTTGTTATTGTTACTTTATTGCATGAAAATCGAATGCCGAATACTTCGAAGACGATTAATTAATATAACTATATGTGTTATAAGATTTATCTCCTTTGGAATTTATTAGCAGACTGCCGTTAATCGTAATTCCATATATACAACAAGAAAGCTAATTTGTTGCCTAGGATAAGCAACAAAGAAAGCCAGGTTTTCTCAGAATATTATGATTTCTATAATTCTTTTATATACATTATATATATATATATATATATATATATATATATACATATATATATATATATATATATATATATATATATATACATACAGCCAAAAAGTAACATTAATATTTACGGCAACCATATTTAGCCAATGATATCCTTGGTGTTTTCTCCGTGTAGTTTACTTGCAGAGAGAAAGAGAGAGAGAGAGAGAGAGAGAGAGAGAGAGAGAGAGAACATGTTGATTGATTATATGTATCCATTTCATGTCCAACTCAGATACGACGTTCGTTTTTGTCTCTTTCTCTCTCTGTCGAGCAAGTAGAGATGTTCCCCGCACACCATTCTCTCGTACGAGATCTCACACATCGGCGGAGAATACCTTCAGGAGACATTCCCGCATCCATTGACCTACATCGAGACCACGTACCGTAAAAAAAAAAGAAAAAAGAAGTAGACAGAATGATGTAGGCACGGCCGGATGCCGAGTTACTTATAAATAAGCCGGCCCCGGCGTTTTCCATTAACGATAAACGTTCGTCGAGCGAACAAAGTTTCCTCTCGAGAACGAGCTTGAAACGGCTCGCGATTTTTTTCCCCGTACAGCTTCGAGTTCGCCCGCGTCGATCCATCGAGCAGCTGTGCGACAGACGGTGAAAAAGCAGCGCGAAATAAGGGGACGCGATTTGACGATGCAGCGATGTAAGGCGCTGGATTCTGAAAGTTTGAAAACCGCTAAAAAAGTTGTTGCTGTAAAGAGAAATAGGTCGCGGTGGCGCTGCGCGCAAAATAAAAGAGCGCTCGAGTGTACCAGGCGAGTTCTATTTCGTCTTAATGAAGATTTATTCTCACGCTGGCGGTGTGAAGAAAACCCTTGAGCTACTGTGCCTCAAAATTATACAAAACTCTCTATTCTTCTCTGAAATTGTTCAATTCAGATTTTCCAAAAGCTTTCTTCGATTGTAGGATCAGCGTTTTGCAGAGACTTGAAACTTTCCTCCCGCGAAAATGTGTACTCAATTGTGAGGACGTCATGAATCGAGGACCAGGGAATTGTTCTGTTTTCTTAGAGTTCATCGTGTTTCGAAATCTGAATTGCTTACTTTAATTGTGCAAAGTAAGGGAAGGGGGAGAAACGCAAGAAGTGAATACAACAACGACGTTGTCGAACGAGATTCCGAGCTTCTACGCGGTAAGTGTTTATCGACGTAACAGCGCGACGAATATGCACGTGCCGATGAAAATATCATTAGCCACGTTATTTCACAGCGTCGCCGGCGAATTTTTTCCGTCGTTGTAATGGCAACAATGTTGACAACAGGCTCAGGAAACGTCGCGGTAAAAGGGAAAAAGAAGCGAGCGCGCGCTGCTTGACATACAATGTGCGTTACGGGAGGAATAACAGCGGCAGCGGCGTGATATTTCTTTACCCCTTTACATCGCTCTCCGCTTTTGTAACACGAATTTGCAAGTTTGGCATCTTCAACAGATCGTAATGGGAACCACAGCAGAGTTATGTGCTAATTAGGTGTTGATTTTATAATATGATTTTGCTGCCTCCAGCAGAAGACCGCGTTTTAAAAGGATTCTACCTTATAACAACAAATAAATAAACTAATAAGTACGCTATAATTTGACGCTTTTCATCTTCACTTCCAAGAGCAATAGAGATATTTTAGCAAAATTGAGAGATATTCAGAGATATCGTGTGAACGCGATGATTAAATATCACTGAAAAAAAACTTGTTGTAGAAACGAAATTTTGGTATCATACACTAGACTATAATTTAGTTAAAATGGGATCAACCGAATGTTTGGTAACTGCAATCGCAAAATTTCATTGTCGCTATACGTGGTTTGTTTTTTCAATGATATACTCGACACAAGTGAGAAACGCAGTAATACTAATTATATATACCAAATATTTTAGTTCAAAATATTACAAATAAAAGATAATTTTTTCAGTGATCGTTTTACTGCTCTTTAAATTTTATTGAAGTGAAATCTTACTCAAAGCGAATAAAGAGTGGCCCAAGCCATTTGGCGTGCAGTCACCTTAGCTCGAATATACGTTCGACCACGTGGTCGTTTACTCTTGCTTTAGAAAATTCTGTAATTGTCTCAGTTATGCATAAAGATACGGAAACAGGAGACATTCTAATTATTTCTTTCGCGCCAAGATTATGTAAGGGGATCTTTCCTTTTTTTTTCTTTTAGCGACTGAAGGAGAGCAGAGGAAGATAGCGACATCCGAAGGACATCAAAGAAGTGAGACGACATGGTCACATAAATATTGAAAAAAATATTTTTGTATTTGAAACTAAAATATTCGGTACATACGACTTGGTTACTTGGGTGTCAAATAAATTTGTCACTAAATTTTAGTACCTATAACACAGGCTGGACAATTATTACCAAATCGTCATAATCTTTTTTTTCAGTGTATCACTGAGAAAGCAAAAAGAATACAGCGGCAATTATATTTTTGCTTGCTCTTTTAAAATGAATCAGTGAAACATCACTGAAAACAGTGAATATACACTGATTTGCAGTTATAAGTATTGCACTGAAAATACTCAGTGCTATACTTATAACTGATATCAGTGACTATTCACTGATTCACTTTAAGAGAGCGTAATTATCAAACGCTTATTCGAAACATTTGATCCCACTGAAAAAAGTTATGGTCCGATATATCAAATTTTCGTCTCGATGACAAGATCCTTCTTTCAATGCACGGCATGGCCGCGGGGTACTCCTGAATTCCACGTCGGCGACGTCGACATCCGTTAATTTCGCCTCGACGACGACTGAGCCACAAAGCGACCGCGTCGTAACAACAATCGCAATAACTCGCTCGCCTCCTTCTCCGGAAGACTCCTCGGTCGCGACTACTATTCCGGAAGCATTAATATCGTACACATCCCGAATAATCGATTTAGCCAATTCATTAATATCGTAAACTCACTCGTCCAACAACGGACGACGGACGTTGACCATGACATAAAGCACGAACGCCGCCCACGGGAAGTGGGTCCCGGCCGAGACTCGTCGCCAGGACTCGCCCTCGTCCTCGCCGCCCTGCCAATTCCCCGTTCTACTGTCGTGTCGCGCACTTAACCCATTTTGTCTCGAGATCCTGCCTACCCGGAAAATACGAGCTGCCGACAATGAGAGCGGAGCGGGACGCTTAACGATCCGCAGATTCTCAACCGATTGTACGGGACGTTTTGCGACGGAGCGCGGAAACGGGCGCGCGACTTAATGTACACTATAATGCGCTCTATAATGCGTACGCGAGTGCACGCTAAGGATCGACGGACGAGGCCGTGGCGATCTTTCAGTAGCGTGATCCTTCTCGTTGGACGCGCCTTGCCGTATCGTCGTATGCCGGCTTTGTCAAAGCCATTATACGATACAACAGCCGTAAGAGAATGTAATAAGACGTAAGCAAATTGACCAACACTACAGCCCACTATTCTCGGGCTGTAAAAATCTCATTGACCAATAATTGGTTAAGCTCACCAATGCTGCATACTCTTACGGCTACTAAAATGGGCTTTGTAACGAAGCATGATCCAGGAATTTATTGGTTGTCGCGGCTAATGCACTCTGCAACGCACGCGCGAACGCCAGAAGAATCGCCTAAAAGAGGCGCGCGCGTGGAGCTTCTTCTTGGCGACGGTTAGGTTAGGAGAGAGCGAGCGAGAGAGAGAGAGAGAGAGAGAGAGAGGGGGGGCTTCGGAGGCCGGCACTTGAACTGGGTTAATGATCGCGGCGAGATGATTTATAGCGATTAAACCGTCGCGCTCTTTTACCGGAAGGTGATTCTTCTGTGCGCTTCTGGGGATGGGCAGGCAGAGATTAGACGAAGTGATAATTCCTAATATCGATTTTTTTCATGTCTACGTTAAAATGCTGGAATCTCGAAGGATCTGACCCAAATTGCATGATAGTGAGGTTCACAAGATTGTTTGACATCTTCGCCGTTCGGCGGGTTCTGCTTGATCAATTTGGTCTTGATTTTTTATAAGATGCACTGAAAACATTTTTGTGTTTGGAACTAAAATATTTGGTACATGCAATTCGGTTGGCATTACCATATTTTTGCTTGTGTCAAGTATGTCACGTATTATTGAAAAAATAAAATATACATAGCGATAATGAGATTTTTTGGTTGCCAAGATTCGGTTGACCCTATTTTAACCAAATTTTAATTCAGTGCATCAAACTTTTATTTCGATAACAAAATTCTTTATCCAGTATAGTTATCCGGGAAACCACTTTATGCGTCGCATGAGATTATCATAGTGAGACAAAGGTATCAATAAGGCAAAGGTATCAATCCCCAGGAACATACTTAATCCTGGACACTTGTATTACTTTGGACTTTAAATACGAGTATTAAAATTTTCAATATAGAATATATATGTACATATTTAAATATATAATTACATATTTTTAAATATATAAACTATATATTTTTGTTAGAAATTTAAATTTTTAAAGACCAAAACAATAAGAATGTTCAGGATTAGGTACGTATCCGAGCAATAGTATTTATCTTGATATGAAATAAAATTGAAATAAATGTTTCGCGAGTTGACTATGTTCCACATTTTAGACCCGAAGTCTTCGTAGATTGTCGGTAGTTATAGTCGACGAAACAGCACACAAATCGAGGTGGATAGACACTTGGGACTTGTCATTAAACGCACCGTTTGTCAGGAAGAAACGGCGCAAGTTTCTTCAGGAAGCGCTCTGTCGCCCTCTGATTGACTTAATCGGCACGCCTTTAATTTTCCCGATTTACTTGGGTAATCTTAAACGCTCGGCTTCACGACAGAGCCTTGGAGAATCGACGGGACGACTTACGACGTCGAAACCGGGATCTAGGAGTCCGAACGTAGACGGGAGCGAGGTAGGATTATTGGACGCGAAGTTAGTTCAGTAGAGATTTTAAGAGATTCCTGTCGTCTCTCTATCGCGCGCGTGAAACGAAAATCACCTCGGTCTGAAACTTTTCAGGAACTCTCGTTTTCATTTCTTCCTGATGGTCCTTCGTCAAGAGCGACTGAAGTTCGCGCATCCGCGCTTTTCGCGTGTCTGATTGAAAAACCGTTGCACGCGGAACGTTCCCACGCGACAATCGATCAATACGTCTTGCTTGAACTGAAAGACCGAGTTATCCGAAAATTCACTTTTGTTGACAAAGAGATCTTCAATCGAGAAAAAATATCGTGACGATGTCGCGTGACGCAACGTAAGTTTTCATCAAGATTCATTCATTCTACGAACATGGCATTAAGAGATCCGTGAAGCTATATGAATGCTTCATTTAGCTTCAGACCCTTCACGTAGGATATTGCAAAATTACGAGGCAACGAGAAAATTTTTCCATTCAATTTTCCGCTACGGAAAATTTGAATAAAAAGTATCTCGTGCGAATTAATCAACACGGATGTATGATTGTGCATATTTAATCCATTATCCCCTTTTTTGTGCTTTTTTACAAACGCATTAACGCAAATAACTTTGCGGGCCTGGATAGAAGAGGTTCCTTTATTTCCCTCTGCTCTTTCATGCTCCTTGTCGATAGCGTGAGACTGCTAAATACAAGAGCGGCGGTCGGAATGCGACGCGGTGGAGGAGAGAGGCTGAAGGAAAGGAGGGGAAAAAAAGGAAGAAATAAGCAAGTGCACCCGGTGGGAACAAGGTCGGAACTCTCTGGCCTCCTTGCAGGATGGCTCTGGCTAATGTCAAGATAAATGCGATTTCCTGGAAACGGGATGGGGAAACGGGCCCGGAGAAGGGGTGACGCGGGGGCGCAAGAAGAAAAATATTGTTTGCCGCGAAAACTGGGGCGCACATCCTGAAGGAGGACGTTGGTGGTGGTTCGACCACGGAGGCGTCACGCTGGTGGACGCGGGAGAGGTCGGCGGGATTGGAAGAAGCCAAAAGAGCGCGTCGGCTCTCTCGTGCGAGGAGCTTGCCAAAATTTGCCAAGGCGTAAGGTACGTTTTTAGAGCGGAATTAGGGGGAGGAGGAAGCTTTTAGAATAGGGTTACTTAAACCAGGTCAGGATTCTCGCATGACTCCCGAGGGTTGAGCGCGGCGAAGCCTATAATGCGCGATCCATTTCTCGATGTATATTTTCAGCGGCGCGCCCATTCACGAAGATATTTTCGTAGGTCGTTTCCTTCCTTCTTCTCTTTTTCCTCCTTTTCTCTCTCTTTTTTCCCCGTCTCCCTCGCGAGAGTATCACTTCGCATTTTTGCTCGCTACTACTCTACAAATTGAAAGCATTTATAATGGAGGCTCTAATAGCGGGTTTATAAAGGGATTCTCTCCGGCGAACGGGCGCCTCTCACATACGTATGCACGATTCCCTTTAAGATTCCCGAGCCGCGCACGGTTTCGACGAAGAGAAAGCCCGATACTTCCCGAAATGCCTCTCTTGGGCTACTTATTTATGAGAAATTGAAAGCGGAGGATATATGAAAAGTTCACGACCTTCGAAGTTTCGCGTTCTTAATAGCCATCGAATGCACCGGGTGTGAATTTAAGGAAGCTCAACTCAAGAAGTATGAAAGCGCGGAATAGATCGTTAATTCCACCGCGTGATAACCAGCTAGAAGTTTATCTCACGATCAGGTTGATCTTTAATTATCTAGTTTGTATAAGTATATGAAATATTATTGGATCCTAATTGTTAATAAAGTCCTGATTATATAATAATAATTCTTATTGTCCTGATTGTCACATCGTATTACGTGACTTAGAACCCAGTAATATCATACGGAGAAACAAATTTGGTAGTATTAATATGAAATTTGGTTTTAATGAACGAATCAACGCGATTCGGTTGAAAGGACCAGAATTCTTGGTTTTCAGAGCTCAATTTGATCCTAAGGGCCAGAAATTTCGTTTCCTTCAACCAAAATACGTTGATCCGTTCATTACATCCAAAGTCTTTTCTCCGTGCATCTTATCAAATAAATGATTAGGATCCATCTGATCAGGATCATGGGATAAATTTCTAGTCAGGTATCTGCCCGCGGGGTTATTACGTCGAAACAATACTGATCAATAGTTCGCCGAACAACGTTCTCATTTCACCCCTCTCCTCTTCTTCACCTCTCAAATATTCGAGGGTCCTACGAATCCCGCTTGTTCAGAGAACAACAGGCAGCAAACATACGTGTTTGCATGCGTACGTGGCGCGTATTGTCGCGACTATTTTCCGGGATTGCTAGATTGCTAACTGACGGAGGGGTGAAGGAGGGGGGGGGGAGGATAGCAGGCAGTGTGTCGCGCTGCCACGATCGTTCAATGTCTGACGCGTAGGTTTACGCCAACGAGGGCGACCTCAGGAGCTCGTTATCGTGGACGAATTCAATGCATCGCAGCGGCCGACAGTGAACGGCAGCGAATTCAAGCGACGTCGGCTTAGTCGCGCTCAGATCATCCATCTTGCTTCGGACGGTTGTCCTGCCGGCAATGCCGAAGATATCGGGCCAAGGAGCCAGCAGTGCGGGCTCTATCACCGGAAGCTGCGCGTCTTTCTCGGGCTTTCATGGATATCGGCCGGTCCCTGCGGTCATTTCAACGGTGGCCGGGGACTAACAGTCATTGCAGATCGACGACATCGATCTATCCATCCGCGCATTCGGGACGCTTGCCGAGATACGGATTTCACAGACGTTACGGCGAATCAATCGCAATACGAGAATTCCGCTCCGAGAAATGGAGCGATGTACTTTCGCGGAATGTACTATGAATCATATCAGACGATTCTGATAATTAATCGTATTCCTCGGACGAGACCTTCAAGCTCGTCGAAACGATCGTGAATGATACGAATCAATATTCCTTCCAACCCTCCTTACTACTTACGTAATTCTTTTCATCACAAACTTATAGAGAGGTAGACTGCGCATTCCTATTGAAGGACTACAGTCGGCATTAGTAAGAGGCAGCAGTAGAAAATAAGATATTTTTCTTGTCTGAATTATCTAGTTGATGGGGAAAACAAAGGAGGAGAAGCGATCACATAGTCAATACGTCGCTCTCTCCTACAGTATTACGTGACAGAGAAAAGTACTTTACTCTGCATAGTTTTGTCTCCTTTACTCTTGTCTTCAGTCGCCTCATAAGAATGCGTAGTCTCTCTCCGTTAAGTTCCTGATACACTAAGATTCGTGCTCGATCTGTGAGACTAATTTGTAAATAAAGAAAAGCTGGGAGCGCTGAGAGTAGAAATTTATCCCATGATCCTCGTTAGGTTAATCTTAATCAGTTATCTGGTTGATATAAAATGTTATCGAGTCCTGAATAACGCAGTGTGGCAATTGGGACCTTATTAATAATAAGGATTATTGAGATTTTATTAATAATTACGATTCGATAACGTAATATAAATAAATCAGATAATTGATTGGGATCAATCTGATTAAAATGATTATGGGATAAACTTCTAGTCGAGGATATATTGAAAGTTTGTTTTCAATATGAACTTTAGTTTCTAGTTAAAGTGCTTGCGGAAGATGAAGTTTATGGTTTATGGGAAAGCATCGATTTTGCATCTCGTCGGTCTAAGAGATCGATACGTGAGTCAAGAAAGGTTAAACAATTATTGGTAATATTTCTCGTATTTTTCAATAAGAAATTTTTCAATTAGGATTTTCAATAACTGCAGTATCCTTGCTTTCGATCGACGATATTTTCGTCGAGTCCCGTTAGCCGTGCTTTGCAGGAAATTATTTATTATGCATAAAAAAGAGCAATTTATATCGGCCAGATAGCACGGAGAATCAGATTCTCTTTAATCACGTCCACGCGTTTTAATCGGTCGAGCGATATTCCGGCCGACCTTTAACATCGGAAGCACTTTCACACTATCCCACCCTCCCCTCCAAGCCTCTCTCGCGATATTCTCATAGCGCCTTTTGGCGGAGTCTCCGTGACCCCGAAACGACTATTTGGCGTCTCTACTTTGGCGGATATATCGGTGTCACGATTAGTCGATTTTTCTTCGTGTCAGCTGTCCTCGAAATCGCGCTCGCTCGTTCCGAGGAGCTTCCCACATGAATCCCCCGCGTTTCTCAACAGAAGGAATCTACTCAACAAAATAGGAAAGCAGGAATTTTCGTGCCTTGGCGAGCGTGTGCCGGGAAATTTTGGTGCGCAAACTTTCGCATAAATTTCTTCAGTACTTACGACTCGCAAACCGTTATAATTCCATCATGCGAGTTCCCGACCAACGACGGCGCAAATCACACGAAAAATGCTGGAGAGAAGTATTCGAGTTTGTGTTCGAACGTCGCCCCTAAAAGTCAGCTCGTATTGTCTCTCTGCGATTTCAGTGACCGATTTATCGGTACCGTCGACGCAAACGCGAACTTACGCAACCAAAAATGACGTAGATCGCAGCAACGCGAAAACACTGTTGACATCTGAACCATATGCACGGTAATAGAATATGCAACGAGGTAAACACGCTCGCGAAATGAAATATATGCGCGCATGTAGAAGTTTGTATTTGTACTTTTTTTTTATTTACGCTCCGATAACTGAATTTTTTCGTGTACATTGAACTAGAATTCCCGGATCTTCTAATACTTTATAAGGCAAGGTAACTGTGTAATTATGGATCGAGTCCCAATCTCGGATCAAAGTTGGTTCATGCATGCATTAAAAAGTTGGGTCATGAATATATTAAAAAAGTACACATTATACGATGAAAAACGAAAAGCAAACTTCTTTAGTTCCTGTACAATTATATTCTAAGATTCCATTCACACAAATGACATAATTAGGACCGTTACCTTACAGCGTCTCCTAGTATTTTCCCTTAATGAGAGAAGCCTGCACAGTATAGATCACACAACATCGCACCTCTTTTTTCAAACGCCGAGTATAAAACGCAGCGGACAATGTTTAATTTGCCATGAATTGGCACAGCGTGTGCCGTTTTCGTTTTTCACGACTCGCGGGAGAGGGGGGGAGGATCGCTTTATCAACACTTGCCGAACAAACCGGCTGTCGTCGAGATTAGAGCGCATTCAAAGCAAATAAACCTTGACTTACCCTCTCTATGTGTCCGCCGCTAACGACCTCAGGCGTGTTAACGCACACCACCCTTTTCAAGCGCAGTTTGTTAACGTGGAAGGCCGAGCCGTAGCAGTACATCAGCACCATCGTCGTCGGAAAATAAAAACAGCAGCACGCGAGAATCCTGAAAGGGGAGATACGATAAATTTTCCAGCCCGGAGGACCGGCAATTAGCGCGTCACGCGCGCACAACCAGACGCAAAGTGACGGGGCGAAGGCGATATGATACGTTTACATGAGCAAACGACCACGAGCAAAATCTAACACGCGTGCCAAGTTTATTAGCGTTCGATCAAAGCGCTCGTGTTTGTAATGCGACAGAAAGTATCGCGACGCGTCCGTTCGAGCTCTTCTTCTCCATTTCTCGCTGCTCCACTGTGCGCGATCATTAAAATATAAATTGGTATCGAGTGAATTTAAACTCAGTGTGAATTTTCTCAAGTTCTTTTCTCTCGCCAGTAGCCCGATATCGACATTTGCAAACAGCAGCCGTGTAACGCGAAATACACACAGAAAAATACCGTTCTACCGCTAAGGAAAGCGATTATTCAGTTTATTTCCCTCTCTTTACGCAATGGTTATCTTCAACAAAGAATATTTTCTTGATAACAGTGTGAAGATACCGTAAATTTTAGAAAAGTTCATTATCATGCATGCAAAAGAAACATTTATTCTCCTTATAAGAATGTTAATATAAAACTTTGTCGAAGAAGAAGTTGGCTCGACTCTATGTAATAAGCAAACCGTAGTCTTGTTTTAATTTTATATTTTTGAAATGTTAAACTTACTACACGGAGAGAATATTATAGTTTCTCTCTTCATATAAGGTCTTTTCAAATTTACCGTGTTTTTAGTAGTCCAGGTATAGACCAGCAGCAAGTTCTTGTAAAAGAACATGATAAATTTCGCTGGAAACATAGCAAGTGTTTTAATAGTACGCTTCAGTTCTTGAAATACAAATAGTTATATATGTGAAATGAAAAAATAGTAAATTACAGAATGTCGATCTATTCCTTGGTTACAAAGTCTCTTATAGTAATTTTTACAATAAAATTCTTTCCGCGTAAAATTCGCAGAATGTGAATAAATTTGTTATTATTTGTCGTGATAGTTTTTTAAATATATAAACTCACGAAATACTCGAAACAAATTTATTTGAATGCGATACTCGCTATATATCTTTATTTACGAAAACCATGTGTTTTTCTGTGTGTATCCGATTTCATTGGAAGCACAGCGCGGAGCGCGACGCTTGTGAGTTATCAGCGTGATAAAAAGTTCTTGATAATCCGTACGGACGGACTCTCATATTTAGTTAAGGCCACCGGGCGGGGTCGTCAGGTTGGACGCGCGCGAGCGCGGATGTCGCTATCTTTCACAGTTGATCGCCTCCGCGGCTCGAGGCGATCAGCCACGGTCAACCGTGTCGCTCTTCACGTTAAATTGTAATTGTCCGCAATTGGTCACCGGCCCGAACAAACGCGGAGGGCGGGATCGTGGGAGACGATCCGGCCCCGCTTATCGTCGCGCTCCGTGACAGTTGCGATACCTAAGGGACGCCCGGGCGAAGAAAGGGTCGCAGGCGAGGAGACCGGACCCGTTGAAGTAGTAACCGCCCCTGGGGAGCACCAGAACCCCGAAAATCGCCACGCTTGCTATCCAGGTGGTCGACATCACCGCCACGCAACCCTGCCGCATGTAATACTGTGTCAACATAGACAGAAAACGATCATTCTTTCTCTCCAGGACGCCAAGCCCGTTATGGATCTGGTAATGTGTGTGGAGAGGTAACGTGTATGTGCGCGTACAGAGAAATGCCCGCTCCCTGTGTGTGTTTTTACAGCGCCGGCAGGAGTTTGTTTGCACACGTTCCGCATTTCGCAGGTATATCACGGGGCTTGTTTGTCCACGTGATTACTATACGCCGTTTTTATTGGCAATCCGGAAGCGGCCGCGCGTTAAACGGCAAAACATCTCCTAATGTCGAGGTACACCGAAAAATAAATAGCCTGCCGACCTCTGTGTCCGGCGCGCACGTGTGCGTGATAAGTGATGGCTGAGACTTTCGGCTACTGATTACAGAAAGGCGCGAACGTGTGCGAGCAACATAGCGTTTCGTGTTCTAAGTGTGTGTGTGGAGTTGCAAGTATCCAAACAAAAATCGACACGAACATAAAGCGCGAAATCACCAGGTGATGGGAGGGAGGACGGGGATGTGTGAGCTGCGAAAAACTCACGAACGTTGAATTTGCAAGATATTTTCGCGCAAAATTCGAGAGCCCCGAGAGTTGCAAAAGTTGACTATCGCTCGAAGTATCAACGGTTCCACCGCGCGTCTCTCTGTATTTTTTTAGCGCGCTACGTGTGAAAAGTCGTCTCGTTTCTTTCCCCGGTCAAATCTCCCGACGAAAGTAAAGAAAGTTCGATGGACCGGTTTTATCGACGGTCCACTTTTACGGCACAAACCCGGCGTGTTAAGTATTATCGAGATTAGGCGAGCCTCGTTTCCGATCTCGCAAGAACGATCAGCGGAATGACACCTCTCACCCAACTGTTCTCCCCACGGGAAGAATTGACACTTGTGCAACGCCTTTTTTCTTCCCCCTCTGCTGCCGTAAATATAGTCCCCGACTTCGATTCGCAAACATTATTAGAAGTCGGGAAAAAGATATTTGAACACGATATCCGCAAATATTCAAATGTTTTATAACATATCCGAAAATATTTTCAAACGCACGATTTTGAAGAGCTCTATTCACCGGTGCATAGAAATTCTCGCACATTGAGAAGGAACAAATTTTTATAACGGAGAGCACTCGGCGACGCCACTTGAATCGACTACTTGATATCATTATGCATTACTGTCTGATACTGTGGAAAAGGATTTACGGGGGAACTGCGATTATTCGAGCATCACTACGTACTCGTAGTCACCGATGACACTCGAACGAATACGGAAAGCGTATGGATCACGCGAAATTGCGCATAATACGTGATTTTACGAGATGCATGTAGGAGGTGCGGATTCGCGTGAACCGCTGAATTGTGAAGTTCTATTGGGGGCGGCATCGAAGATATTATCGATCCGCGTAAATGCTGTAAGGATTTAACTCGTGCCGCATTGTGAGTAGCTGCAACAAAGACGTAAACAGCAAGTTGCCGTGAACTCCCGGCTAAATAAGGGCTGTATACGGTTGAATATTGCGCCAAATACGAGTGAAGTTAAAGTGACACGAATCTCTATCTCCAAGCCGACCTAGCGGGTACCACGATAGGGACAAACGCAAATCATAACACGGGAATAAGTTTGGCTTTTCGCTCGGCTGATTTCACCACGCTCTGTAGTGAGGCGCTGTGTCTCGCGAGTATATTCTTCTGACCGAGTCTCCATCCTGAGAAAAGTCATGCAAACTCGTCGGAACGATCAGCGCGATTTCAATTTCCGAAATCAATCGGAACAATCGGACGAATAATTTACGGGACCATTCATGAAAAAAAAAAAGGAGAGAAACGAGGGAGAGAAATACTAAGTTCGCGAAATCGAAATCGGGGAGCGGGAAATCGGCGCCCCGTCGATCGTATATAAAAGAGACGAGAACTGCCAGAAATCGATGAGCGGTCCGAACATTCGATAGGCGGAAAATTACGGAATGAATGGAAGACACGATTCAGCGATTCGTCCTGGCTCTTTCTTTTGCGCCGGTGCGCCGCGCGTTCCCTTTCCCATTATAGCGATTGTGCAAATAACAATTCCATTACGGATCCCCTGTATCGACCGACGCATTCGCCGTGGAGGAGAGAGCAAATCGGAGCACCACCGTGTGTCTCGTTAATATCGCTTTAACCCGGTAAGTCTCCGCGAATATGTATTACACGGGAATACACGGACCGGCGTAATAGCCTTAACATATCGTGCAACTTAGCATTTTCCCATTGTATGCAATATAGTTTTATTATTTGTTGATTATTCTAAAAGAGCGGAAACGATGTGACCGAGCGGCACATGTCACACAGTGATAACTTTACGTTAATGTCCAGAAACAAATGTGTACGAGGAAATATTATTGATCTAATTATACAGAATATTGAAACTGTTATGCCGGTTTGTATACGTTCGATTGCTAAACGTTTTTTGTACATTTTTAATCGAATTGCGACGCTTCACAAGTTGTCGGAAAATCACTGCCGACGTGTATGCGCATGCGACTGTAAACGATAATAAATATTAAAATAAAAATTACATCTCAAAATAACGTTCTCTTAATTTAAAAAATAATTTAAAAATTGTAATTTAAAATAAATTTTCTCTTCCAAATTTCACAAATGTCACATTTCACCGTCATCTCGGCTCTTTTCATAACGATTGCTGCGCCTGAAACGTTGCAACTTTATTCGATAAAATATGTGTAGACAGTGCAAATAACCAAGTGTACATACGTAACGCGCACAGGCGATATCTCATGGCGGATATAAACGCGTGAGACATTAAACCTTCGATCTGGATCAACTGCTCGCGAATTGACGATCGTTAACGCGGGATATTTTTGTATATCTTCACATTCACGAAAGGTAAGTCCCGTATTTTCCGCACGTAGTGCGGCGAAGTACCTGCGAGTAAAAGTTATCGCGCGATAAATTACAGTAGCATTAAGGAAAAACGTAGGTGGCCAATGAATAGCGTGTTTCCCAAGAGAGGGAGAGAGAGAGAGAGGAGAGCCATAAGAACGACAGGCGATATATTAAAAGGTAAGTCAAAAAGTCCGGCGTGGGTGGGTGCGGATGTGAGCAGCAGCCGCATTCTTCCAAGTGCTCGTTGTAGGTAACTCTCCGTCGGTGAGACCAACCACGTATACGAAGCGCTTCAGATTCACCTCTCTCTCTCTCTCTTTCTTTCTTTTCCACTTTTGGGTACACACAAATAAAAAATTCCCCCTTCCGTCGTTCCTTCGAAGTGCTCTCTTAATCTTGAACGATATCAACGTCAACTTCGATTTACGATGTTACTTGATTTACAACGTTATGCCATCGATCTCGAATCGAGTCGCTTATTTGCAGCCGGTCGAAAGTCGAAGGAGAAAGGTACGATGATTTGGAGTCGGTGTACCAGTCTCCGCACACAGAAAAATACATTCTGCACTCAAGTAAGTGTTACTTGTTTCAAGTATTTTATAAGTTTGTGAGTTTATTTCATGAGTTTATCGGTAAAATTATCCATTATATAAGTTCATCACATAAGCCTTAAATTTACTCCAAATACATTCTAAATCCTAGTAAGCTTAGCGTTTTAATGAAGAACATTAAATTAATCCTTACAGTGCGGGAAGCTACTATAGTGGCGCGATGGAGGTCTCATATTTTTTTACTAATCTACCCTGTGACATAAATATGAAAAAGTTCTAGTTCAAAAGCTGTAAAAATCACTCAAAAATCGCCCAGACCATAAGAGTTGAGACGAAAATTCGGTTGCTCACTGCACAGAGTCGAATCCATTTCCTCTTCAATAGAATTTTACAACATTCTTGTAAAGAGAATAATTTCTTCTTTTGACCACAAACTTTTCTGAAATTTAGTGAGTTTTCTCTTTGAACGTTTTATATTATCAAAAAAATTCTTCGTGGCGAATAACCATTGCTTAAAAAAAGAACAATGAACTGAATAATTGCTTTTCTTAGCAGCAGACTGATATTTTTCTGCGTGCACGTTGCATATAGATTTCGCGTGAGCTTCGCGATTCACCGTTGCGGCCGCGAAAACGGGCAGGAAACGCGCGGTATAGGTGAGCGAGAGATCGTGGTGGCACTTTGCATTCTGATGCGCTTTTAAATCATTCCTCCCCTCCCCGAAATTCATTTCGGCGGTTAAACCGACGACGCGCCTGAGCTTCGACAAACGGTGGCGCGAAACCGTAGGTATGTTACAAACCGCGCGCGAAAGGATCCAGCTAATATCGCTCGCAAACTTTACTGTTGCCGCGGCGCAAAAGTTGGCCTGAACCAACTGGTCGTCGACACGATCGCCGTCGTCGCCGCCGTTCAAAAAGCGATGCGAAATTACCGGATTATAACTCGACCCGCATACGACGGTAATCGGCCGACACGAGTTCCCGAGCTGATCCAAAGAGATTAGGAACTCCCGGATGCGTAAGCTGTTTTTTACCGGAGATATTTGCACGTGAGCTGGGAACTGTATGAAATGGTGTTGTACGATGTTCTTTATAAATTGCGTCACGTAAAGCCATCAATGTCACACTCGCGGCTCACCCGGCGCTCTTCATTTCTCGCGTATGTTTCGTACCATTCCTCTTTTCCTCCATCTCTTTTTTTCTTCTTGCCTGGGAAAAAAATTACCCTCCATGAAACAGTTTTATTCTTGCGAATAAATCGGGAACGGGACAGTGTGAATATCTGAAGTCTCTTTTCATTTCTGTTCTACCTCTCAAGTGCAGACCCCTACGTTAAAAAAGAACTAAGCTCGGTAGCTCTGATGTAGAGAGGACGTTGAATAGCGTACCTTCCTCTGAACTACAAGTATTTTCTTTCATCTCGACAGCCCGCATTGTACAAAAGAGAAAACCGAATATATATGGTCGAGATATAAATAAACAGTGGGTTCTTTCTAAAGAACGAGGCAGATATACAATATTCCATTTATCACTATTTTGCGGAGGTGGTGCTTGTTTCATATAGTTCTCATCTCCTTTTCATTATGATCTCGAAAGAGAAAGAGAGAGAGAGAGAGAGAGAGAGAGAAGGAAAGAAAGCGAGATATAAAAAAAAGATGATAACTACATTTATTTCGTCGCTGAATAACGCGAGATAACTGAGATCGGGAGGAGACTAAGAGATTATTTTTTGAAATGGAATTTTTACTCTTTTCTGCTAAGCTTTCAAAGCTTTTTTAATATTCATTTCAGTAAATCGGCTATGCGGTCTATATCCGGCACACTACCGCACGTCCCATACATACACACGTACACACGTCTGCATATAATACATAATATATCCAAAAAGGATAATATTAAAATATGTAAAAAAGGATTAATAGCGACGCGTCAATTTTTCTCGTCGCTATTAATCTTCCAAAGACAGCATTTAACGAAGGGCTATTTTTATCCTTCAAACTCGTAATTACGTTATATGAACGTGCAGAGCGAAGGTGATATCGCGTATGAAACGTCGAGCGATGTGACGTGTAACGAGAAATGCTTCACTCTACGAACTCACGCGCGATTATACGAGCGGTGAATGGCGTCGATCGCGAAGACTCGCATGTGTCTCATTCGTCAATGAAATGATCGCTCATCAATAGCCGATTCAAGGCACGTTCCATTCTCTTGCATATTCAAAAGAGTCAAGCTGCGTGGGGCGGGTTTCATTAACAGATGTCGTTTTCACGTCGTGTGAAAGCGGCGACCGTTTTAAACGGAAACGATAGTTGTCCGCAGCTAGTCAACTACCTCGCCATTTTATCCGATATCTCGTATTTAACAAGGGCAAATTTGCTTGTCGTTAGATCTATAGTACGCGAAGCCTGTTACAGAAGACAATGGATCTCCACCAGACAGAAGGAAACGGTTAAAACCGGCAATATCGGTTAGTATAAAATACCGTTTTGGACAATCGTAAAAAACCTCCATCTGACTTTAACGGTAACTCGAGAATTATCGCTAAGTTTTTGCGCGTTCGCGGGAATTTAAAGGGATATTTTTCCCACATTGTAAAAAAGAAATGTTACACGGATATATTACCGTTCCCCAATGATTTTTCTAATTGTTAGACACGACTAGCTTTATGGCGATTGAAAAATTGAAAAGATACGTGTACTCCAAATAAATGCACACGTCACATTCTTCACGAATAGACAAAACGCGAATGATCGTTGCTAATAATATGGAACATGGACAATACGCAAACAAATAACTCGCAATGAAATCATACAATATCGATGTGTGGAGAAGCTGTTAGTCTTCGTTAGTCTAACTAGAGTTAATGAGTGTGAGCATAGAGAGCGAAATAACTTACCCTCTTGGAAGAGTGCTTGTGATAGCGGTGGGGGTGCAGCATGCAAACATAACGGTCGATTGCCATGCAGACGAGGATAACGGCACTCTGTTGAGTCAAAGCGCCTCTAAGAAGTGCCTGGAACAGTAAAAGTTTCCGGAAGAGCAAACGAGATACTTGGAGTGTCGTCCTCTCGTGGCCCCTTCAAATAAAATAACTGATAACTTCGCGAAGATGCACAGTCGAGCGGCGAGACAGGCGGCAGTCGTGTTGGGTCGCGACAACTTCTGACGAGCCGTGTGTCGAGTAACCGAGTACACTCGCGCGATTGCCGGCATCAACTTGATAATTACATTCTTCTCAGCTTTCTTGCGAAAAGAGAAAAGAAAACTTTAGTTCTCCCGCGGCCGAGTGTCTCTTGATTCGCCAACGGACTGGGACAACACGGAGTGTACTTTTAATTACACTCGCAAACGCGCCAGTAATGACAATTGCAACGTACGTTTAGTACTCGTTTGCAAAATAACTTCAACATTTTTCCTTAATGTTTTTCAAAATCCATGCGACATCTAATTAGAGAATGTATCTTATGAAAATTACTCAAAAACAAATTCTCCCATTGGACCTCGACCGTGTCCAAAGTGCGTTGATAGGGACATTATTTCGTTAATCGTTTCGCAAACGATTGACATCGATTAATGAGCGTATCTTAATCGAAACTTTGATCCTTCTTCCGGCTTCGACATTCTATTTAACGTCTATTTTGATATTCTGAAACTTGTATCAATTTCTTTTATTTCACTTAACCTACTAGCTTTACCAAAAGGTCTTCTTTAACTACAAGTGGTATTATGTACATTTTCTGCCATTTAGAAGCGCTAAGTAGAATTTCACGTTCCACGTGTGGATCAGAGTATTACACATACACTGTTTTCTTCGAAACACACAGATGTTAAAAAATCCGGATGCAAAGTAAAGTCAAAAATTTCGATTCGGGTACTGCACTCGCCCTCAGAAAGGTTGTCAGGTTTTTATTTACAAGTTTAGAAACGTATCCGTCCTGTCCAATGGGGTAATCCGTTTTCCATTGGGAGAATTCTCCCGCTGGGCAGGACGGATACGTTCCTAGACTTACAAATAAAAGTCTGACAACTTTTCTTTGTTTCAATACGGTTTGCGCACCTCTTTTTCGATGCATTTCAGAGTGTAACCGGTGGTCCAATAAGAAATTCTCTTTAATCCTCAGAAGTTCTTTTATTGGAACATTGGCTGCGTTCTGAAATGCAACAAGAAAAAAAAATGAAAAAACTGTTTAAAACGTTGAAACACTAGGTATATGATAGCGTAAGCTATAAAAGTAAACTGGCATGTTTGGATCGCCGATCCATCGGGCGAGTTATTCGGAAAATGCCGGATCCTTTCTACATGAATGCAGCGAAATAATCAAGGTTTAGCCGTCGTTTAGCTTGCGGCAGCTTGCGGCTCACCGCTGATACCGCAGCGCTTCGCGGTAATTCCGCATCGAACGTTGAAATTCGCGTGAGGATCATTGTTTCCACCCTCCCCTCTCCCTTCAGATTTGAGGCCGTGTAAAGGCAGAATTTCATCATCTAATTAATTATAACGGGGCAGCACACGGAATGGGTTTAATTAACGTTACAGCGCTGCTGATTATTTGCTCCTATATTCCGTCCGTATAGGTGACGTCGCAATTACGTTACAATGACGTTACACGGTTTGCCGTACGAGGAATCGTTTGCGAATTTTATAAAGCCGATGCCGAGTTCACGCGCCATAATTAAATGTCATGGTCGAACAAAAAGAAGGACCGCATTCATGATGGTGCGATGTCGCTCTCGCGCCGTTGCGTTTATCTGACGGCGAATTTTAGTCCGTAGTTAAATAATGTGGCATTATTTTTGTAAACTTCGCACATGTGCGAATACACACACACGCATACATTACCACAGACGAAAGTAAATTAACGCAGTTTATTGCGGACAAAATTGTAGAACACGAGAAACCCCGCGGAAATTAAATAATAACGCCGTCAACAGCGCAATAAGCTCGCCTTGTTTGATGTAATTTCGCGAATCTTTAATGTTTAACGACGCAAACGCAGTTGTCGAAAACACGAAACTTCGACGGAGTAAGTGATACTCTATCAAATTGCGCGAGAATTCGCGATGTTGCTGCGTTTCGATCGAGACTGTGCGACAGCACAAAATCAACGCGCACAAAATTCTCTCGAATGAATCGACGGGATGCAGCAAAAAGAAAGAAAGAAATTGGCTACCAAATCTATCTATTTATCTATCTCCGTGTCGCATGAGATAATGCAATTAACGTTTGTTTCGCCATACTGTGCAAACATTTCCCGATAGCCGTCGCACGCGGTAGTGTATCGATTACGTCGCGTACTGGGTCAATTTCTCGTAACTCGACCTTCGAATGGACTGTCAGCAAACGCTAATTCGTTCTGCAAACGTACATATACATACATTACACGGAACAAGCTGTCAAGCGACGAGCGATCAAATTGCCGGTAGGACCACCGCCAGCTCTTCCATCCAATCGAGATCGACCTCCCGCGACTGCGGCATGAGAACCGCAATTGCGTCTGCGAATTAGCGCGCGTCACTTAAGAAACTTGGAACTTTGTTCCCGTCCCGGTGGGACCACCTCCCGAGGAGACATCCCAATTAATTGTTTCACGATTCCTCAACGTCGCATAGCTGGAGGAAACATCCAGTCCACCGACGAAAATTGTCACGTCGAACGTTTCTCGAGCTCGCGTTTCGCTGCCGGTTGACAGAAAGAAGAAGAAGAGCAAGAAGAAGTACATACGTGTCTCCTCGAGGAAACGACGTGCGCCACAACGTCACGTGTGTCCACATGTGCACGGGACACAACTCCAGCCCATATATTGAGCAATTCCGTAACCACTTACTGACACTATATATAGCCGTAGTTCGGGGTCCGATATGCCGGACTGCTTTGAAGTGGGACAGCTGGGATATGAGATGTACGCACTATCGCGATTCGAAGCACGTTCAGTTTCGGAGCAGCAGTCGCGAGGGAGGAGTGGCAGGTGGTCGCAGGGGGAAGACGAAAGAGAGATGGGCAAGATAGAGCGTCAGCGAGCTGGATCTCTCGCAGAAAGACAAGAAGAACGAGAAAACGGTCCCAAACGGCATGAGCCCGCCGAAGGCGACAGTGTGATTCGATGAATCAGTGACGTTGGGGTGCCCATAAAGAGACGAGCGGCGTAAGGGTGCGAGTGAACCGGGTATACGTTTAAGATGGTTGCCATGGTGACCGTTGGCGTACGGCCAGGAAAAAGCTCTGATAATCTGAAGGGGGCCAGGATCGGCCTGGCCTCGTTTCGAGCCATCCTCGAGACACTCCCGGGAGACCTTAACCGAATATTTTCACCGCAAACCAACTTACCCCCTCGCTCCCGAGCAACCGTCGCTAACCCTTCGCCCACCAGCGCCGCCACCACCGCCGTCGTCGTTGGCCTCGGGCTGCAGCGGGGACTTTAATGGAAAATCAGGCTAACTTTTATTTAGCCGCGACCGGAATAATTGCGCGCCGGTGTAACCGGTTCGATCTCTCCGCTCCTTCGTTCATTCGCTCGTCGAGAGGCGAGCCGGCGGCGGGCGTCAGGTTTTCGCGAAATTGCATTTGCTCCGGTACACGACCTTGAGATGATTGCAGCGGCGCGTTGCGGCGCGGAGGGTCCGGGGCAGTACCCGATTCCGCCGAAACTCGTCGGCATAGCAAGCGCGAGCGATCTGGCGTTTTAATTTCGCGGAATACACAACACCCGCGGGAAAACGAAGTTAACAATCAGACGGGATTGACTTTTGCCCGACAACGGCAGTTTGCAGGGATCAACGTTCCCGGCACTCAACCATTGCTGAATCCGTACGACACGTCACCGGCATAGCGCCACGCACGCGGTGAATAAAAACGTGTCATATCTCTCGTACAGAGATACTCGCCTCTCACGCACCCGTCGCGATATAATTCCCTACTCGCCGCCAATAAAACGAAACGACCATCGGCGCACAGCAACGCGCGGCCGGGGGCGCGCGCGAGATTGTAGAATATTAAAGTCACAATCATATTATTGCGGCCGGCGGTGACGACGGCGCAAGAGTATTTCAGGTCGGTTTACGCTGTGGAGAAAAAAAGGAAATGAAGGAGCAGGGCAAAAAAGGCCGGCGACGCGAAGCGAAGAGCACCTCGGCCACGTCGTAGTCGCGCGGATAAGTAATGACATTACGCGGCTAAGTACAGGCGGCGAAGCAGCCGGGGGAATTTACCGGTAGATAGTCCGACGCTCGTTTTGCACGACCTATAATTAGCGGATTCAATAATTCGCCACGGGGAGCTTCTACCGCGCATCCTAGAAATAATATCGAGAACAGAGGACGGGGTTGCGGGATATATCGGGCGATCAGGCAGACCGTTTGCTATTGTTATCGGCTAAACGCGACGCTCGTTTCTCAATTGTACCGTTTCGACCGCGTTTTCGATACACCAGAATAGCGCACTGAAAGAGGAAAAAAAATGGCTAACTAAAATTATAGTTATTTCTATTGGCGCCATATTCTACGGTTGTTCTAGCACGAAAATGATATTAATAACCTGCATAATAACCTTGTTATTATCGTTAATGTTACAGTATTAATAAAAAATTTAATTAAAAAATAGTTTTTTTTATCATAATTTATAATAATTATTCCTTTAGACTTAAAAAATAATTTCGTCAGTCGTAGCGAAAATTATTCTGACAGAAATCAGTTAATATAAATGATTAGCAAACACTGATGCTATTTCGCGTATGTTTGGCAATTCAATCAATACAGATGACAAAGACAGAATTCCTATTTAAACTATTTGCAAAGTTTAACAAAAAAACCTCTCTATGGCACCCATTCAGATTAATACTTTCGCTACCAACGTCACAAATGTGTGACAGCAAACAAATTTTTTTCTATATCCACATTGCCAAACTAAGTCTTTTACACGATTATTAAAAAAAAATATTAAAAAAATATGAAGTGGGCTCTGAATAAACTGCGATAGCGAACGTGTTATGCTTCTTATAAAAGTGACTGCGATAGACA